ATATATATATATATAGATGGATAGCCCCTTTAACTGACATATGATAAAACTTTACCATTAGGCTTCATGGTTCACCTTATTGCATGATACCTAAAGCACTTTTCTAGCCACCCAAGGATAGCAATAGAAGCTATATTATCACATATTTCACCATAATTTTGTATTCTACGAATTCAAACTTATCATACCTATATATTATTTTATCTTCAAATAATTTTGACTAATAATTATTAATATCACACCAGCTAATTTTCCATATCATATACTAAACTTTTTGTTTCATTAAATCTAAGACATTTATCTTTTTGGCATTCGCATTGTTACAATTTTTCACATATTTCAGCAATCACTCAAATAATAGAAGTATATCATCTGCAAAAGCCACAAGTCAACACACCTAACGTTGAATATCCTTGGCAAGATACAAGTAAATACAAACTCATTGTTGATCCTTGAGTCAAATTCATACTTTTTTTATCATTCCACAACTACTATTACTTGTTAATATTTCATTGCATAGATATTAAATACTTCACTATAAGTTTGACACATCTTCTTTAATGTGTCTTGCATCAACTACAATAATAATCAATCATATGCCTTATCAAAATCATTAAAATTCAACAAATCATGCAAATTAATTGCCTTAACATAAATAATTTTCATAAAACTTTATCGTGCGAAAAATCAAAGGGACATTTACATAAACACCACACAATTATTATGTATTTACATATCTAGCACCTAAAATTTAATATTTACATTCATAACACTCAAATATTTAACATCATGTCAAACATACCATTTTACTAAATTTTTAAAAGTAATTGCACTTTTTACAAGTCTATAACACCAAGGTGTTATAAATGTATATATCAAACTATAGGTATTAGATATGTGAATTCATAAGAATTGTGTAGTGTGTATGTAAATTCCCAAAATCAAATTAACTCTCTGAAAATAACATAATTATTTTAAATCTTTGTTCCATTAAGCTCTCCCGGAACATCATTGGATATTTAATACATCCACTAATAATATAATCTTGGCCATCTATTTTTTTCTTGAATACAGGAACCAAACAACATTTCTCCAATCACTTTGCGTCTCACTCCGCCAAATCTCATTACTAATGATTGATCTATTTTTAAAGTCATAAAATTTTTATGATAATATTCTTGAAGGAACAAAACATATTTTCTAGAATCAAGTTGGGCTCAACAGCAATATTCCTAAACATATTCTATGAATCCTTTGGACAACCAATTTCCTAGCAACTTCATTGATGTTCAAATCACCACCAAAAATTATCACTTATATCCAAATACACGTAGAAGTAATTCATCCATCAATTCCCTTTTTTTAGTGCAACTTTTGGAGCATAAAGATGCATGTGTAGTCTTCTAGAAATAAGCTTAATAATAGTAATCATACTAATAACCTATCTACTAAAGAAAATTTCTTGTTTTCCTTTGCTTCTCCATTGCCTTCATAATTTCATTCCCGTTATTAAGCTCCTAGTATAAAATAGCTTATAATCTACCCAGCCTCATATGTTGCCTCCTTCCAAAAGTTACATGCAACATTATTTATTTTATAAATTGCTATAGCTTTTAGTATTTAACATTGATATTGGAAGTATTGAAAGGTCACACAAAAAATTCAATGTTCAACCTCTTAAAATCTATAGTAGTGCTAACACAAACTTTATAATCATCATTATTAGCATTATCTTGATTATTTAGTTTTGGTCTTCTAAATTATTCTTGTTCATTCATTCATGCTAGTGTTGCTTGATGTGTTAAATCTATTATATGCAAATCACTTTAAATAATCTGTATTCATAATACATTAGGTCTACCACTTTACCTTTCTAATCGTGTAACACTGATATAATCTGCTTGCCTAATAGACACTTTCTCACCATTTCGCTACTCCTCCTGCTAATATACTGATTTCACATTTTATAAATTTGAAAAATATAAACCAAATAAATTACCACAAGAAAATAAAACTAATGTCTCTCAATCCGCAGTTTGATACCATTCCCATTATTCAAGTAAACAAGTAAAACATCTATTGATTTAATGTAGCACTCAAAACAACACGCTTCCTTTGGTCTGTAAGATTACATTATCAGATCGTTTCTTAAATTAAACACATGCAAAATTTAGCTCTAGTAATTCCCAACTATAAACCCCCTACCACCACCACCAAGCTTTCAATCACTGTTTCTTAACGTCAAGAAAAATAGAATATAAAAAATTGTGCACAATATATGAAAAATTTTATGTTTTCATATTTTATTTTCCCTTTTTCACACATTACATCATGGAATTTAGATACAAGCGGAAAAGAAAGGAACATACATAACTTTACTTCATACCAACACTTTTGGGTTGGTATAAGGATGATGGTGGCAATGGTGGTAATAGTGATGGCAGCTAAGTGGTAGAGATAAAGAGGTTGATGGAGATGATGTGGCTATTTATTATTTAAGCAATTCTACGATATATTGAGCTAGCTTACAAATAGTTGGGATAAGTCTTCTGGTGATAAAGATTACGCAAAAACAACTATATATAATAAAGCAAGTGTATGAATACATATCATATGATTCATATCTACATATGCTAGAGTGTAAGAAGTTCGATAGGAAAAGAGTATTAATTCAGAAGAGAAAAGAAAATCAGTCCTATGAAAACAAACTTACTCTTGCTCGCATAGCGACTGCACGGCCACGCCCAACACCAAGAGAAGACCCTTTTCCCTTTACCATATCCAAATTGTCAGTGTGAGCTCCTCTGGCTCGAGATCAATGAAACAAAAGACAAAATTTAATAGGAAAGGAAACACGGATTGACTGCATACCCTGATTCTTGCATCCAAACGTTTGAACATTGGCGCATTCTTTAGCATATCAGGTATGACCATAAATCTGCAGAAAGTTTGTGCAGTTTTAAAATTTAACCAATAAAAAGATAACTGAAGAAACTATAGATTTTATATAAAATAGAGCTTACCTTACTTTACTTCCTCGGATGAAAACATGTTCAAGTTGGGACACTTTGCCATCCTGTATATAAACAGAACATTAACAATGCATAGCAAGACACAGAACAGAAATACAGTGCTTGAGAAGTTGAGATACATAAAATAAAGGAACATGATATTGATAGATGGTAAAAATGATAGCAAAAGGGCTTGCTTTATGGATAACTAAGCATTTTCAGAGTTGACTAAAACTACAAGATCAGACTTTAGAAACCTACTTCTCAATTACTACTCAAATTCAACTATAAAAATTACAGGGGGGGATTCCAAGCTGGATCTAATTGATTGTAATGGTATGAGAGATGCAGTGGAAAAACAACATGACAAGCAGATTTTGAACGATGTAAACCGCATGATCTTAAATGTTTTTGCAGCAAGAATAATTTCACATATAAAATTCCAACAACATTAACTACTTCATGAACCACTAAATTGAGAGTAAAGAGTATAAGCATAAAAGCCAAAAACTAACATTGACAGAACGAACAATCAAATAAATGGAGAGAGGAAAATTGTACCAAAGAAACTAAAATATTACTGTCACCTTAACTCAAATATTCTACAGTTAATGGCATTTTTTTTTAAAAAATTTGTTCATCTTGTAATGCATGGTTTTCTCCTTTCCCGACTCTCAGAACGTGGATAAAAACAATCCATTGAGGTTTCGGTGTACCAATGATAGCTCTCCAACATCTACCTACCGTAGAGTGGGCATTATTAAAAAAAGTGAGAGTTAACATGGAATAAATAGAGAAGATGAAACTAATACAGCAACCAAAGGCGGATACACTTAGCAGAGAAAAAAAGAAAGCAAACAGTAAACTAACCCCACCCCTATCAAAGCGCAGCGCGAGAAGAAGAAAAAGAGAAGAGTAAGAAAATGGAAGGCACCTTGGCTGTGTACGTGATGTTTTCGAGTTGGCAGTTCCAATTGTCTTCGCACTCGATCATGCTACCTCTGTAGAGCTCACCACTCTTAAGCTCCACCGTCACCACGTGTCCGGCCGCCTCGTGCAGAAGCTTCACCGGAATTCCAAGGCTCCGACTCATTTCGGATCACTTTCTCTGGTCTCTTGCAGCAGAACTGCTCAAGTCATCCAAATAAAAAAACCCTAGGCTCTTCGGCCGTTTTGTCTCGGGACTCTGAACCAAAGGCGCAAACCTTTGAAAGAAAATCCGCTGATAGGAATGAAACTAGCAATTTATACTATAAAAATTTACATACTTCGCACACAATTCTCATGTATTTACTTACTTTCATATTTACATATATACATATATATATATATATATATATACGTGTGTATATATATATATATATATACATACA